CAATCTTGTTAGTCTGTGATGCAAGTTCTCACTGACACAAAAAGCCGCACTGATATCAAATGCTGGTGTAGTTATCATAACAGCAAAGCCAAAGACTTTGTCACAATAGTAGCATAATTTTTGCATTTAATCTAAAACTCATTTACAAGCTTCAGTGGTAGGTATAATTAAGGCTAAAGTTGGTTCTTCAAGACTTTATATATTTAACTCCATTACATTTACACCATTAATACATGAACCTTTTAAAACACCGTTCAGAATAGTTGTAACTGAACAGAAGTTAAGCAATTTGCTGTCTTTGTTTGAAGGATGTTAGTCAGCATTAAAGCCCAACACAACCAGAGGACTACATTGTTACATGTTTTCTTCTTATAAAACTAAGTGCAATACATATTTAAAGGTTTTCTGATTTAAAGTCTTAAGTTTATTTACAGAGAAATCATGAGATTTGATTTGTAATCTATTTTATTTTAATCTATAAAACAACTATAGTTATTTAGGTAAACAAACTTTATGAACATTAAAGTAAACATTGACTGGAAGTTATGTAATAGTATTATTCTTGCGAACCCCACAGTTATGAGGCAAACCCACATCTTGTAAACATGCTGATGAGAAGTACAGTTGCTGCAGTGCAGGAATGACTGAGCTCATGTGTGTAATCTGAGCGTAAAGCCGTGTTATTGGACTGTAACAGCAGTTTGAGGGTCCTGTGCCAGAGACCCGTCTAATAGCATTCCATCTGCTGATCCTTCTGGACACGCCTCCTTCCCATATCTATCCATCAGGATACACTCCCTCCTTTCTCTTTCCTGTATCCATCCGTCTACTGTGTGCTGCTGGAGGGGCTTTGGGTAATCCCTGCAGTGAAAGGGCAAAAGCCTTTCTCTCACACACACACACTGACTCATTATTGGCAGCTTCTCTCTATTGACTGCTGTTTCACATTTAAAACTTTGTGTTATGGCATTAGCCACTGATGCTGGCTTGTGAGAGTCTAGAGTTTATTATTCAAAGGTAAAGTTGGGTGGTATATGTTTAATATGTATGGTATATTGTAAGCCACTTTTTCTCAGGATGGTTTTGATGAGCTTTTTATTTGGCCAGTTTTATAAGACTTGTCTCGCAATTTGGTGTGTGATGGTGTTGATAGTATTAATAACATGAAACTCTTGTTTAAATGTTTTATTCAAAACAGCGTTAAGAGTTAGAAAGTTTGATTAATTTTTGTGAATCAGCTCAAACGGCTTATTTCAGTGAATGTTTTAAATTCCGATTTTAAGGATTTCTTTTTTGCCAAACCCTAAAAAACATTCCATGTTCAATGTTTTAGTTCAAATATATGTACACTGAAAAAAGAGTTGGTGTAGAAACAATTTTTCTGATTTTGAGCCGATCCGTTTTGTTACCAGCGGCACAGGCAATAACGTCAGCCGCGCATTCTCGCTCCATCTCTAGTTTCCTGTGTTATTCTTAGTGAAGAAGATTCTGGAAAACATGCCTTGATTATGTTTAACTAGATTTATTATGTGAGTGATTTAATAAATCAATATAATAATCTAAATAATATAATATTAATAAACTGTTGTATTTTACTCCCTCCATTAAACATTTTGAATCTAACTGGTTACAATGTTTGTCAAAATTGCTCTGATTTAAAAAAAAAAAAAAAAAAAAAAACACCAGCGGCACAGGCAATAACGTCAGCCGCGCATTCTCGCTCGCTTCTCTCCGACGACCCCTTCTCTCTCAAACACGTCTCATTCGCTCCGCTTAAATAGTGCTTGTATTGCGCGTTATTTTAGTAATTCCCGCAGGTTTCGCGCTTATACCAAACGCGCGTGCACCACCACTGATCTATATTAGTGGAGCGCACAATCCGCGCTCAGTCTCAAACAGCTTGTGAGCTGATACCAAAATGAGTGGCTAACTGCGCTAAAACGTTCAAATACATACAAAATTATGTCAAAATGCCCGTCT